AAGTGGTTCCTATATCCTCCGGCAGCATAACTCTAGAGAAAGCTCAGGATAACCTGACCCAGCTTTGTCAAAAAGGAAAGTTTTCAGCCTAGCCTTATAAGTGACAGGGTGTCTGCCACACAGATTAAAATAGGTTATTAGTTCCACAGGAGCTAAACTTGATAACTAAAAGACCTTCCTCCCATACTTCCTTTTCTAGGAATCATCTGCAGCGATGATGACTAATGCAGAAATAGCAAACAAGGGAATAATCAGGCACAAGCAGCGTGACACACCTTATGAATATGACTTGCATCCCTCGCAGAACGCAAAATACTTAAATACTCATGATTAGCTGCTATTACAGCTGCTGATTAGTGAAACATTTTTTATACGCTTTTAAACATCACTCTGGCTGAACCTTTAAAATGAGTGCTTCACTAAAAATACAGTAGGGTACTTACAAGCCTTGAGCATTATGGTACCTTCCTAAACTATACTTTCTATATACAGCTGTTGATAGGTAAGATCCATTTTCTACATCACAGGCAGTTCCCTAGCATCTTTTTTTTTATATTGATTCAATTACAAAAGCAGGGTTCCAGGGTTAGTATTAACGTATACCTTTTCACGACCATAAGGCGCACCGTACTAAAAGGCGCAGTCTCAGTTATGTGTCCCATTTCTGTATTTAACACACACATAAGGCGCACCGGACTATAGGGCGCGTTTTTTATATACAGGTACATGTCCTCTACTACCTTTAAATACCTCTACTGCGTATTTAAAAATACAGCGGGGGCAAAACTGAGTATGATTGTGCTTTATTCATGTATTTATTACAAAGTATTAATCAAACCTGGCAGCTGGCCGTGAGACAGACACATCGCAGATGACACAGCGCTGTGGTCACTCCTAAATTAACTTAAAATCCTGAAACCTGCCGACGGAATATGTTCGCTTTTATTGCCGGTATCCTGGTGCCTGCAGTTTAAATTATTTAGATGAAAAACACCTGCCAGCCGCCGCGGTGAGGCTGCTGTTGAAGAGATTTCTACTGTCGGCGCACCGCTGGTATGTGGGGGTCTGAGCGCCTCCGACAGAAATAGATAATCTGGATGAACTGACTGCAATTATTAAGTTTTCAGGTGGACTTTCTCACTTAAAAACATATTAAAACTACTTTATTCCCACTGATCACAGCAAATATAGCTGCAAGATTTAGATTATTTAGATGAAAAAACACCTGCCAGCCACCGCGGTGAAGAGGAGGAGACCCGCCCAGAGGCTGCTGTTGAATTAAAGCTGAAGTCTGTAAGTTTTTAAAAATCACTTTTTGTCATATTGGCTAAAACTGTCCCTATGCCCAGACAGCAGTACATGTGATATGTAACCTGTAAAAAAAACTGCTTCAATTGGTCCCGCCTACTGCCTGTATTTCAATGGAAAGAATAATTCGGGACGAGTCAAAACAACCAATCACAGCCAGAGGAGCGTCTGATGGAGTGTCAATCACAGCTCACACACGCTGAATCCCCCCCCCCCTTTCCGGTAGTATGCGGTAGCCGCGCAGATGCTGTGAGAGGGGTGGAGCTTGGAGGTGGGGCATGAGTGAAGCAGAGAGGGTGGGGGAGTGGCGTGAAACCTGTTTTTCTTCAAATTTTCAGTCGAAGTCTGCTCTCTTCTCAATGTTACAGACTGCAGCTTTAAGTTTTCAGGTAGAAAAATAGAGCGGGAGCAAAACTAAATATGATTGTGCTTTATTCATGTATTTATTACAAAGTATTAATCAAACCCATCAAAGTCATCATCTTCTGTTTCTGAATTAAACAGCTGCGCTAAATCAGACATGCCAATTTCCCCTTCTTCGCTGTCAGAGTCACTTTCCGTGCAGCGCGGCTCCTCAGAAATAATGCCGGCTTTTGCGAAAGCTTGAACAATAGAGCCAGCAGACACGTTAGTCCAAGCATCTACAATCCATCCGCAAACGGTGGCGTAACTTGCCCGGCGCTGCCTTCCACTTATCCTGAAGCTGTGGTCTCCGTCTGTCATCCATCGCTCCCACGCCGCTCGCAGCCTTACTTTGAACGGCCGCTTCACACTGATGTCGAGCGGTTGAAGTTCCTTTGTCTGACCCCCCGGGATAACGGCGAGCACAGCGTTAATTTGATTCACCTTTTTTTCACATCGGCTGTGAGATGGGCACGCAGCGATGGTGATGCGTGGAAAAAACCACCTGGTCTCCTCACATACACCTGCCTCAGCCACGCTTTCATCATCTCCTCATCCATCCAGCCTTTTTCATTTGCGTTAATATAATATGTCATCAGAGCGCTGTGTCTGTCTCGCTGTCAGCTCCCAGATCAGCTTCTCTGATTGGTTGATGCGGCGCATCCAGCAGCAAAACTTAAATTTTTCCATCTGAGCAGCAGCAGCGCGTTGGCAGATGCTTAAACGCTCCCGAGGCGCTGCGCCTGCTGCTCAAAACGCGCTGCAGGACCTTTTGCTGCGCCTATACGCGCGTCAACCATTGACTTTGCATGTAAACAAGCTGCTTCTGCTGCACCTGCTGGGTCCGGTTCACAACGATGTCGAGCGGTTGAACAGCGCAGCGTTAATTTGTTTCCCCATGTTTTTCACATCAGCTGTGAGATGGGCACGCATGGAGTTACATATTAACAGCGATGGTGATGAGTGGAAAAAAAAAACACCTGGTCTCCTTACATTCAGCCACTCTTTCATCATCTCCTCAATGAGGTGGTCTCAAAAGTCGCAGTTACAACACACATAGGGCGCACCGCACCAAAGGGCGCACCGCACATTTTGAGGGAAAAAAAAGACGTTTAAGTGCGCCTTATAGTCGTGAAAATACGGTATATTCATATAATTGTAACATTGAATTTTACTGAGTACGATTATGCTAAAATATTCAGTACTTCTTTTTTCAGTGCAATAGGTTAGATATTACCTTTTTCTATACATCCCCTTTGCTAACGTCTCTTTTTTTTTTCTTAACTTCAAAACATATACATAGGAAAAAATTTTGATCTTTACAATAAAAATAATGTTTTGCATACAATTAATCTTACATATTGAAACCTGATTGCAAACACTGAACTCCCATTTAGCTGAAAAGTATTAAACAAAGGCACCTGGCGTTTTGGTGTACAAAAAAACTAAATTTAAATTTGAAAAGACTCTGCGAGGTAAGCTAGTCATTAAATCATGACATTTGAAAGTGTACAGGGGATCACAGAAGACTGACTTTCAGTAGTTCAGCTTCGGCAAAGAGTGCAGCTGTTTAGTGTGAAATGTGTTCTTTAAGCAATCTTTATACCAATATGAAAGTGATTATCCATATGAATTCAGGGATGGTGATGACAATGGTAATCATTTAAATGCCACAGATGGGTTGCATAATAGGTTTGTTGATATTTGTTTTCTCTGGACATGAGAGAGTGAGCAGGCGTAGGGGTGACAAAGTCTGCGTCGGTGCTAATAGAGTGTAGGAGGGAGGGCACACAAATATTTTCCCAGCACAATAAAAAATCTCCACAAGCAACACATTTTAAATTTTCTTTTACCAAATATTCATATTTGATTTTATCTTTTTATAAACACAACCATCACAGAAACATTGAACATCTCACCTAATTCTACAAATATTTTTTTTTGGTACATGGTTGGTCTGAGACATTTTAACTCATAATGACTCCACTATTAGTTTTTGTCATTTTATCGGTTCTGCAACTTAAGACAAGAAAGCTCCAATAATTTGTTTTCTTGTGAAAATAAAAGGTCCATAAACATTTATTAATTTGAAATTCACAATGCAAAGTATCTTTTCAAAAATAAAGTAGCACAAAATCATTGCTTTATTATTTTATAAGACTAGCCAGACTTTGGGTAAAAACAGGGGTTTATTGATCTATAAAAAGTAATATTTACAAAGAAGGCTTATAATGCCCTGCAAGAATAAAAGAAAATTAAAACTTTTAGTTGCATCAAATGTAAAAATTATACTGCTGTATAACAAAAAAAAAAGCAATAGACTAATGCAATACACCTCTGCCTCTTAAATAAATTAATTACATTAAATGTTTGCATTTCAAACCGTAAAAGTAAAAAAAAAAAAATTCACTGGACTTGGTTTCCAAGATTTGTAGACGTTTTGCCACCTCTCCAGCAAGCTTTCTCAATTTAAATGTCTGGATCCGCAGTGAGTTTGAGTCTTTATATAGACAATGCCTTGTATTGTTTGGAAACATGCAAATGGTAACCGATGAGTGGGTCGTTTGGTTCCATTGTTAGCCTGTAATATCTGAAACCTGTCTATGATTGTTAAGGGTTGGTCGTTAAGGAGGTATTGTTCACCGGCTGGAGCGGGGAGGTGCTTTGTACCTCTGAGGAACAAAGTACCAGTATATTGACATTAATCATGTGAATGGTCAATTTATGCATGTTTTTAAAGGGGAAAATTGTCGTTGACACTTGATGATTGGTAAAGGAAATTTAGCTCTGATCATCCCTAAATTATTTGCATCAATCTAAATTAAGTATAATAATGTTTCTAAACTGGATACAAAAATGACTAACAACAGAAGTACAAAAACATTTTTTAAACATCTCTAGTAGTCTGTCATTCCCAAAGGTCTTTTGATCCCCAAGTGGTGCACATAAAGTAGTACATCAGCAAAAGGACAGGCTTTTTAAATCTGTTGATTTTGTATTTATTTACAAAAAGGAAATAAATCAAGCCAAACATTGCATATTTACAGGAAAACATTGTTCAGTATATTTGTTTTCGTATGCTCTTGCGACTACATGCAGTAAGTGTGGTAGGAAGTCCCTTTAGAATCAATGCAAACAATAACATCATTCTGCTTTTTTTTCTAGTTTACACATGCAGTATAAAATGAAAGTCAAATACATGACTGAAAATGCAGACATGCGTTGTTTGTAATGAGGAACTGGCTTAAATAAGTCAAACTGTACATTCAGTATGTGAACTACGCTGCTTATGTGTAATAAGTGTTTTATAAACAATGATAGAAACAAGCTGAAGAACATGTTCACTTATTTCACAGGGAAATTTCACCAACAGCGTTCATGATCTTTGTTGGTCCATGGGATTCTCAAGGAATAAAAAATGATGGTGGATTTGGCAACTTTGGCAAATCGGCAATGAGAGACACTTACATGGCGATGATGCCACCTGGAGGCCAAACACAGACATTTCATTTAATCCTTTGGCTTTTTTCTTTTAGTGTGTTTAAGTCTTTTTGTTAGGAAGTCAATCATTCTGTAGCAAGGCTGTAATGAATAGCAGATTCTTTTGAGGTCTTCTGCGGCATCATGTGTCATCCTCATTGTAGAAAAACATGTAATAGAAGAGAGCGCTGATAGTCAGCAGAGCCACTGACAACACCATGTTCCTTCGGTTTTCCCCTCTCAACACTGCAAGCTCTTTATCTTAAGACAAAAAAATGAATAACAATAATTAACATGTAATATTTGGTAACAGACTCTGATTTAACTGTAATTGACACTGCATGATTGGATCTAATCTTATTTAATTTCTTTGTTTACTAAAACTTAGTAAAAAAAAAACATGTTAATTGTGAAATTTAAAAGGTTTCAATCAAAATCTTATAATAAATGTATGTGGCTTTTAGGGCTGCAACTAACGATAATTTTGCAAATCGTTTATTCTGTTTTTTTTTTTAGATTAATATTTGGATAACAAAGGTTCCAGAAAAAATACTTTTTATGAAATTAAACCAGGTGAATCTAAATTTTTCCACTTAAAGAATTCTGGATGGAACTTAAATGCAACATTTTTTTTTTTTTCAATTCTGGGTTATTTACTGCTCAAAGTGGGTCGCTCTGCCATTAAATGTCTCTATAATCCAGCTAATGATTAATCAATGACTAAAAAAGAAGACAAGTATTTCTATAATCGATTAATCTTATTATTCAGCCCTAGTGGCTTTTCATCTCACCTAACCATAGGTACTTACAGCCTCTTTAAATTTTCATTGACAATTAATGTATTTCAGTTATAAGAAAAATATTTTTGTTGGTTTAAAACACAGTTAGCATTGGGTTAGCATGCAGCTGTGTTGCAACAAGGAAGTCAATAGCTCTGAATCTAAATCCTCTGACTTTATGAAAGTAATCAAAGTGAAAATAAACAGAGTTTACTTCACTTGTCAGTGATGATCAGACCGTGCGCAAATACAATACAAATCTGTCACTAGGAATATTTATTTCAGGTACACCAGCTCACCTAGTTTTTGCACTCTTTCATTTATGATTGCCATTTCGTTTTCCAGTTCCTGTCTGTAAAAAAGAAGGAGATTTGCATATCAAGATTAATCTCTGATAAAAACACAAAATGCTACTAATAAACATATTTCTACACCACAGATGCCAAAATGAAAGTAATGGATCATTTATCCTTAAGTTCCTAGGGATCATGTAGTTGCAGTTTGATGTGCTCATTAGGCCTGCAATGTAATTTTTCCACTTGTTTTGCATACAAACCAAAATGTCCAGCTTCCAATCCCACATAAAGGCAAGACCTGTGGAAAACCTAACTATTGGCTGCCATCTCAACAATCATTTGTGCCATCCTCTTTCCATTTTCTGATGATGAGCTAAACACTCATTAGACGTCTGGTGCTCTGGATGCCTGTTTGACTAAACCTTGCTTTAAACTTCTCAAAAATATATTTTATATTTTATTATGCACCGTGGGGTTGAGAGGACTGAAATTTCATCTGTGTTGTATGTTTACCATGTAGCACATTTGACAATCAAGTTGAGTTTGTTTGCTGTGTGCATTGTTCACCAACACTTACTCACAAAATCCTGAGGTTTAACAGAACAACTGCATTTATTCCAAGAATAAACTTAAAACGGGTTGACTTAGATAATAGCAAATTATTGCACACGATTCTAGTTTAAAATAAAAGATGGGCCCATGTTGATAGATAGTAACATAATGTTACTATCTATCAACATGGGCCCACTATAAATGTAATTTATAGTTCAAAGATATTCCTTTAACACAAAAAATTGAGATGGATGGATGGATAATCCCTCCACTTTCTTTTTCCACACGTGTTTTGAGTCTCCACCCTCACCTTTCCTCCTCGGACAGCTTCGCCCTTCTGCTCTTAAACTCCGCCCTATCCAGGTTGTCATGGCAACGCTCCCGCCTTTCTTCCAGCCTGTCAATCTGTACAGACATGGGGCAAACATTAAGATCACGTAAAGACAGTTTGATGTGTGCACTGACTGATTATAACGACTCAAAAAACTAGAAAGAGAGGGAAAACAGATAAAACAGAGGGATGAACGCCATTCGGCAGTTTGAATGGAATCCGACAGGCTTACAAACACCAAAAAAATAAAGCTTCAAGTTTTTACCTCCGAAGCAATGCTGACATTTTCTCGTTTCTTGTCTTTTGTTTTAGTCATTGTAAGGCTAAAGCTATAGAGGGCAAAGTACAGGCAGCTGGAAAAGCTCTGACTATACGGAAGTGATTTTCTTCTTCGTTGTGTTTATTTTCCCTCTGTGAGGCGTCAACACCAGAGTGCTTTGCTGCCCTCTCTTGGTGAAACCTCGCATTACAAGTTAGTTAACGCCACTTGTTTGACTTAAAGTCTTGTTCTTAACTAGCCACACTATGTTGATTGTCTTTTTTTATGAGTACATATCAATATTTATATAACATATATTACATATATATTTTGGGGGTATTGATGTCCACCTGTCGACAGGTAGGGAGAATGGGAGTTGTTTGTTGTTGAGTTGTTGATCGTCCCTAATTGGATTACCTCAGTAGAGAGAACACTACGTGGGCACTAAAGAAGGAAAGGGACAAGGTCAGCCTATCAGTTCTGGGATTTTATTATTTTCTTTTGTCAAAAATGTCTCTTTTTATAAAAAGGGACCAAATAGTTGCACATCAAGTGTATCTACTGGAGCACAAACTGAGGGTGAGTGATTATGTGAGGGGCTGATGTCAAAGAGTGGATTATAAATAGAAATGCGTGTATTTTCTTTGTAGTAATTCCCTCAGACCTTTGGCAATATTATCTAACCTATTTTGTTGTAGAATAAAGAGGAGAGAATACTTGAACTGGAGACGGAGAATGCTATTCTTCATTTAAGACTTTCTGAGGTAAGAAGATTACAGTAATAGATTTCTTTCTCAACACAGCTTGGATTGCTAGTTTTTTTTTTTTTTTGCAAAAGTATTGAAATCATTATTTTTTTTTTACATTTTGCTTTGTTATAAACACACAGTTAGTATGAAATTATTATTATTTTTTTTTATTTAATGTGATTGATAAAAACAAAGTAGCACATTATTGTAAAGTGGATCTTTTCAAGTCTTCACAGATCCCAAGTCTTACTAGTTATGTGACTGGTTCTATCCCACTGTTGTCCTTCAATCAGCTCCACAAAGTTTTCCATTAACTCTGACCAACCTTCCATTCCTTTGTAAAGAATACAATCACTAATGCATGATGCTGCCACCTCCATATTACACCATAGTGATGGTGTGGCCATGTGCAATACCGGTGTACCACTAAGCATAGGATCTAACGTAATTAAGTCTATTTTATTAAAAAAATAAAAATAAAAAACATGCACAAAACTGATCTACTAACTCATCTTTGAGATAAATAAAAAAAGTTTATTTAATTAATTTAGTGCATATGCCCTCAGTAGTAAGCAAAAATATATACTGATAATCAGAGCTTGCTAAATTTTGAGAGGAGAATATGCAAGCGTATTATTTATCAAACTGACTGATTGTGATTGCAATTTTTCCTCCATGTTTAGCACATTTGAAAGGCAGTTACAAACTGGCACAGCCTTACAACCAACATGTTTGCAGTCATTGTAGGGAGAATTAATCATATTTACAGAAAAACAGACGGGAGGAGGAAGGAATCTTCTGGGCTTGTGTCAACATCTTTGGACTGTCAGAAATAATAATAGTAGAGATATATGCCATTCCAGCAATACCACTTTTGAGCTGATGGTTTTTATTTATAACCAGTCACAGATAGGTGTCGCATACCTCCTATGGAAAAAACAACAAAAAAACTCATTTTACTCCAAAAGGAAAGTCCATTCCAAAGCATCAGGATCCTACCAGCACACCATCACAAACTACGGTGGCAGCCAGAAGCAGACACAAAATATTCCTTTAAATAGGGTTTAGCCCTATTATTTTTGCCATATCAGCTTTAAAATTGTTTTCAAGAAACTCTGTTTTTTCTTGTTTGCAAAAATAGTTTAAGCGCTCATTAATTGGGTGAACCATTGTGTTTTTAATTCAGGCCCAAAAGTTACATTATGTTCTCATCTGACCTTTAACATTCAGCTGCCCTTGATCTAATTTAGATGGGTTCAATTAAATACACGCCACACTTTTTATGTAGAAAACTGTTAAGGAAGATGTTTCTTAACTGAAAGCATTGTGTATTGATTTAATTTTTTTTTACCAGCTGGCCAAATTTTGAGTGAGTATAGTGCAGAAAAAAAGACGTATCTTTTTCAGTATGCAGTTCGGCTGGAGGCTCAAGAATATGAAGAAGACAGAACAACAACAGATCATTATCAACTCCAGAAGAAATTATTCCAGTCTTCTCTTGTAAAGCTCCACACTCAGGTCCAGGTATGCGGATTATATATTGATTACCAAATGCACAGGCTTATATACTCCCAGAAAAAAAAACATAAAAATTTGTTTCATCTTGACAGGGTATAAAACAGGTCCTGAGTGAAGTTTTTGCAGTCTTTGTTAACTCTGCTTCTGAACTGGAGGAGCAGAACAAGCAGCTGCTGCAGAAAGTCAAGGAGGCCGGCTCCTGTCTGAATGATCCCAATGGAAAGGAGCTACAGAGTAAGTGTGAATGTATTCTGTACTCCATCTTAGAGAGCACTTTGTAACTCAAAATTTTGCACATGGAGCCTCGGACGCAAATAGCTGGAACAAGCAGGTTGTAGCTTGAGTACCAACATGCTAATGTACGTACACTCTGCTTTTAACACTTACCTTTTGGTACTTTTGATTTAAAAGAAAGTAAAATGTCAAGAATTTTCCTTACAGTGTTTCCAATATAACCAAAAATTATTTAAAATTATAATAAATGTGTTATTTACACATTTAAACAAGAATACTTTCTATATTTCTAAAGTAATTTCCAGACTCTTTGGTTCATCTATCACTGTAAGAATAATCTTCACACATAATCCACTTTACTTTGTTTCAGGCTAGTTTTTATAGGTAACTGAAGGTCTAATCTCTACTCTTTGCACTTAAAGCAAATTACCTGATTGAGTCACTCTCATATAATTGGTGGTTAATTATCTGGTCACCTAATTGGGCCATGATGAGCCTTTTTATGTGCCACAGATCATCCTATAGCTGGTGGAAGCCCTACTTGAGTACTTCTCTTATTTTGTGTAATTTATTTTGTTTAAGTTTTCATTCCTGCTATTCGCTATTTATTAGCCCCAAAATACATATGATCATTTTAGTTTTGTTACAGTATAAGGAGTTAGGCTGGTAAATATAAATGAAATATTAAGAAATATACAGTTAAACCACTGCAAGAAATAAGTAATAGAATAAAAGTACTAAAAGCAACAAAATTTAAAAAAATTTGTTTTGTTTGCAAATGTAATAATTTTATTACGCTCGGCAGATATTTTGACCCTGAGTATTTTTAGTCATACCTACAAACAAAATGTAAAACTTACTTCAAATTTTATTTTATTATCCCATGTGTTTTATTGTTGTGAATTTGAATAATTGAAGGTAAACTATAGGTGCCTTTGTGCTCAAGGGGGAAAAAACCTTGACTAGAAATCAGGGATACATGCATGAAAACAGTTCATTAAATATAAAATATCAAATAAACGTATTTAATTAATTTTAAAAGATTATATAGAGCAATAAAGTATATAATGATAATGCAAATCATCAGTTGATTATTTTAAGGAAGCAAATAGAAAATAGAACAAATGAAAAAGTTGAAAACTTAATGACATTTTCAGTATATGAAAATGTAATAAATATGGCATTTGGATCAATTGTTCTGATGAAGCCAATATTTCAACAATTTGTCACACTTCATGTCATCAAAGAATATCTAAAAATATTAATAATTTTAATGCTTATTTGTTTTTATTGCATTTTTATTTCTTATTGAACCTGAAGCAAAATGATTAAAAACTGCTGAAACCAATGTGTCTGTGTCAAGCACTGATTAAGAACAACCTGGCTACACCTTCAATGCTCATGTGCTGCTTAGTTTTACTTATTGTCAACCTTTCTTGCCAAGATTTGGAGGCTCGAGTCGCAGCTCTGGAGCGCTCCCTGGAGGAGGAAAGGTACAGGGGAGAGAGGCAGAGGAGAAAGGAAATACACAATGCTTTAGTGGTGAGAAGTGCATCAATGTAGAGAAAACATTTAATTTTTTTTTAAATATAGCTGAACCTTTAAACGCACTGTTTTGGTCTGCAGGAACTGAGAGGGAACATCAGGGTTCACTGCAGGGTGCGACCAGTTCTACGTTTTGACCATGTCCAAACTTCCACCCACGGATCAGGGTTGGTATAACGGTGGATGATAATTATCAAAGAATATATGGGGTGGAAAGTTGTTCATTTTTGTAATTGTTTCTTATAGCTCTGCTTCATCAGAGGTAGTCATCCATACAATCAGTGATGTAAGTTATTAAAAGGTTTTAATCCATTGCTGTGTGAGTATTCTCTATTCAGCCTTATTGTTTTAAACTTATTTTGAAGGACGCGGTAGCAGTGAACTGCATGAGAACTGGAATGCTAGTGCAACAAAAGATGTTTGAATTTGAGAGGTAAGATAAATGGCCAACAGTTTCTTTTAGTGTTCTGTTCCTTTTGGCTGTCAGTAATTTATTTATTTAAATTTGTTGTTGTTGTTATTTCTTAGAGTGCATGGACCAGAGGACTCCCAGGAAACTGTATTTGAGGAAGTCAAGTCCCTTCTTACTTCTCTGCTGGACGGGTAAGTGGAAAAATACAGGAAAAACATCATTTCCAAGATCCATTCATTTTAGTGCAGTTTGACTGAAAGAGTTGAACATTAAGCAAATTTCCTCTCCCTCCCTACACTGCAGCTATAATGTGTGCATTATGGCATATGGGCAGACAGGAAGTGGCAAAACTCACACCATGATTGGATCCCAGTCTCTAGAGGCAAAACTTGGAATCCTGCAGGAATCTCAGGAAGGCATCATACCCAGAGCTGCGGCTGAGCTCTTTCGGTGAGAAAAGAAGGCCTCTAAAATGAAGAGCATAAACTCTGGAATGGAGAACAGTTGCTGTGCAAAAGCTGAAACCAACTCTCAGCTCTTTACATTTTACCCACGAGGTGTCAGACATCCCTGTAATGTTTTAGGGTAGACAATCAAGTGTTTCCAAATAACAGATAAACCCTACTGTTAGAGAATGACCAGATATTAGACTTAAATTGTGTGCAATAAGTTAGCTGGTATCCAAGAGATAACTGAAATAATAGGGTGT